GGGGGGCGGGAGGAGGGCGAGAGCGTCCCTCGTCCCTTCCCCTCCCGCTGCGGCCAGCGCTTCCAGGCCGGGAGGAGCTGCCTGTCCTCGCGTCTGCCTGAGCAGCCGCACGGTCCCAACCCCACGGCTCGCACCCAGCCCTCAGCTGAGAGATGCCCCACTTTGGGGGTTTTCGTTTTCCAAGGCAGGGGGTTGTGGAGACGTTTGCCACGCTGTCACGTTAAAGCCAACGTGACCTGGTGCTGCTGCTGAAGGTAATCCCTGCTCCCACCCCAAACCACCCCTTCCCTGTGGCTTAATTAAACCAGAAAATTCTTTATTGCCTTAAAAAAAAAATTCATTTCAAAGCTGGCTGGGATTAATTTGGGAAATGCACAAGGGTTTACACCAGTTTAAACATTTAGAGACTATTTAAGCTTATGCAATTTGCAGCAGAGACAAGGCACGAGATTAATTTCTAGGGCAGGGAATTACTGTGCACGGAGAACCGCTCCCTCCTCCCGTCCCCGGCCAGTACGTCTCTCCAGACGCTGCAGAGAGCTATGGCAGCCCGGGGGGGGCAGCTTCGCCGTTTGCTCCATCGCAGACGGCCGAGGCAGAGCTGAGCTCCCCCCAGGGCGCCGGCAAGGCAATTTAGCCTTATTAGCGAGAGAGACTTCCCACCCGGCTCCCTCCCCACGGAAGCGGCGCGGAAAAGCTGTGCTGGAGCTGGGCAGAACCAGCAGCCCGAGGCGAAGGGGGGCTGCGGCCGGAGGGAAGACGACTCCCAGGGCAGTGCCGGTGCCCTGCAGCCCCTCGCCCGCTCCCACCGCGCTCCTGTACTCACGTTTTATCCGTGACTCCGTCATGCTCCGCGTTTTCAGCTTCCCCACCAGCAGAAGGCAGTTGGCAGCTTCCTCTGTCTCAAACCCGGGGATCCCTGGGGAACCTATTTTTACACGCTGCCTTTACTTTCACGGAGAAGACTGTTTGCGGTTCTGGTCCGGGTCAGAAAGCCAACGCCGGGCGCGGCGAGGTGGGGAAGATGCTCTACAGCAGCCACGGGGAAGGCGAAGCACGGGTCCCTCGCAGGCAGACGATCACCTGCCCGAGCTCCGCTTCCGAGAGGCCGGCAGGCAGCAGGCGCCGCGCTTCCATCGGTCCCCGGGACCGTCCCTATAGAGGTCGGAGCCGGAGGGAGCGCATCCCGGGTTCCGCTCCCCTCCGCGTCTTCCTTCGCGACCTGCGAACGAGAGGACGTTTTACATCAGCAAAACAGACTTAGAAAGCTAAACCGTCCGACGCTATTTCCCCTCGCGTTATTGCGAGGAATTCGTAACCACGGCCCCTAGATTCGGCGAGGCGGCGCTGGCTGACGAGCCCGAGGCGGGTGCCCCGTCAGCGGGTGCCCCCGCGCGCTGCAGGGGGAGCCGAGGCCCAAATATGCCCCAAATATCCGTCCCAAAAAAACACGAAGAAGAGCGAGGGA